GGCCCGGCCCCGAGTCCAGCGCCGGCCCCACCTCTGCTACATCCTTCTGGAGAGAGGCAGTCTGTGGGGTGACACAGCCCGGCCCACACAAGCTCCCCTGCCACACGCCTGTGCACGGCACCGGCTCCAGCCGTCCTCCCCAGCCAGCCCCCCATTCAGGCTGCCCTCAGCCTCCAGCTTGGTTTTTATACTCTGTCATCGTCAACTGCCCAGAGAGCTTTGGCTGCAGGTGGTATAGAAATGAAATGGACGGTTGGATGGTTGGATAGATGGAGGCAACGTGTTATCCCTATATTTGTGGGTAAGTGGAGCCATCCCTAGATCTGAGGAGCAAGGAAATTGTTTTGCCAGTACTTCTACCCTAGAAGCCACCACAGCTATTGGACTAGAGCAGCAGCATGTCTAGCTAAAAGCTGGAGTGGTGAAGTTGCATCACGCATATTCTTCTCTTGCCTTTGAAGCCATGCTCATCATATGTGGCGGCCTGGTGAATGGCCCTTATGCTCTCATCACGACAGCTGTATCAGCTGACTTGGTAAGAATGTGGATCTTTCTTCTACGGATTCCAGTTGTGTGTGTTGTGTGTGCAATGTGTGTTCCAGTCATGCTGGGGAAACGTAGAAACAGGGCGAGTCAGAAGGGTCTCCCGGGCCATCTAGTCTGACCCCCGGCTCCAGCCGGCTCCACTCATGCCATGCCCATCATGTGCATGTCCAGCCTAGCCTTAAACGCCCTCACCAGTGGGGCTTCAACCAACCCCTGTGGAGGAAGACACGTCTCCCACCCCATCCCCTGCACGTGTAGCAGCCTTTCCCCACCTGGTGTCCCCCAGAGTGCAGCTCCTTTCATCCTGACACAGCCGTGGTGAACATCTGGAGACACCAGGGCTGAATCGAGTGCAGATGGAGACAGAACTTGTTCAGTGTGATATGTACTGTTGCCCCGACTTGGCACTTTGCTGACGGATTCCGTACCTCCCCTGAGGGGCACCCCCTGCAGGTTACCCCCCCCCCCGGTTTTGTATTCACAAATGAAGCCCCTTCAGCCTGATCCTTTTCATTTGTCCTTTCTGGGCTCAAGATAATTCTGAAAACATGGTCCCACGCTGTACAGCATTCTGCGTCTCCGAGCCCGGCTAGCACATTCTTTCCACAGCATGTAAACATGACACCTTGGCTGAGTGAACCTCAGGAGGCGGCCAGAGCCTTGGCTGAGAGCATCACGCAGCTGATAAAACTTGGAAGGATTTTCACGTAATCTGGCAGAAAGGCAGTCACACACATCCACTAGGCATCCTGGGAAGGGCTTGCAGTTGTAGAATTATCTCTTCCAGATGTTTTGGACTTTGACTCCCATTTGCCCCAGCCAGCATGGCCGAGGGGTGGGAATGTTGGGAGTTACGATCCAAAATATCTGCAGGTCACCATTTCGGGGTCTTAGGCCAGTCCTCTTTTGGCCACTGTTGGTGGACAGAGTGGAACTGTGAGCAGCCTGCCGCAGGGGAGGGGACGCGCTGCCTGGAATTCAGGACCTAACCCTAACCCTAACCCTAACCCTAACCCTAACCCTTTTCTCCACACACCCATCTAGCTCTATCCAGCAGGATTCCTTCTGTAGCATTTCCAGGAGGAAGCAGAAGCAAAGAAGTGCACTGAAATTGATCTGGCTTAAATCTGGACCCAGCTCAGAATGCTACAGTAGAAGTGAAAAGTTTCTGCCTTTGGACGTTTCTAAGAGAAATGCGCTCTTTGGGGAGCATGCAGCCCAGGGCCCGAGCTGATCCTCTCAAGTTCCTCAGAGGGCCCTGCCTGTCTACCAGGCCCCTCCCTCTTTCCCAACCACCATTCATGATTGTGGCTCCCCAGCTGTTGTGCAGTTTTCCACACCCCATTCTGAACGGTTGAGATAGCTCTCCTAGTGCTTAGCTAATGGCAGTGAGAGCTTCATACTAAAACAGGCTGGATTTTGCTCCTCCAGATCAGGAGGACAACACTACAGACTGGCCTCAGGCATCACCATCCCCTTAAAACAAGAGGGGACCAAAGGCAGAACTGACACCTGCCTCGAAGAGAATGCCAGGCTAGATGGGCCTTTGGTCTGCTTCAGCAAGGCCAGTGAAGCTCCTTCATCCACAGCTGCCAGCCAGGCCTTGCTTCCTACTCGTCTTCACTCTCATGTCTCTGCTGAGATTCTGATCTGAACATCTGGATCATGGCTTCAGTCTCGGGCCAGGTCTTATGGGTTGAAACCTACAGGCCATGAACACTTTCCAACAGGGAGAAACCTAGTAAGAGGCAATAGGGTAAAAACCAAATGAGAACTTCTGCAGGTCTGCTAGCACTGACAAACGATATGAGAGCATAATTCTCTGTGTTTGCTACAGATCCTATTCCCTCTGAACTGATGGTTGTGTGTTGGCTTTTTCCTCCACCTCAGGGCACTCATGAAAGTCTCCAGAGAAATGCAAAGGCTCTCTCCACTGTTACAGCCATCATCGATGGGACCGGCTCTGTAGGTGAGTGGCCAGAAAGCTCAGGACAGGGATCCCAGCATTCCTGGGTCAGCACTTTAACCTCAACTACTAATATTCTGTTCAGGTTAGGGTTCTACAAATGGAAGACACTAATCCCATATTGAACAGTCCTGCAGATGTGCACACGTGCATGCATAGAAGTGCACACACATGCACATGCCGTCCATCGTGCGCCATGCGCAACCTTCCCCAGGGCATGAGGGCATGCACTGCTTGGTGCAGAACTTGAGGCTAGATGGACTTCCTGCCTGATCTGGCACGGCACTCTTCTGTTCCCATCTGTGAGCACATTTGTTAGCCTCCACACACAATGCTCCTCAAGCACAGTGAGCGAGCATGGATTCCCCGCTCCACCCAGGTGGGTGTCCTGCAAAGCAGTATGAGCTCGACCGCTCGCTCGCCGCTGAGCCTCTGTGTTGTTCCTTTTGCTTTGCAGGAGCTGCTCTCGAACCCCTGCTTGCCGGCGTGATCTCCAGCACAGGCTGGGACAATGTCTTCTACATGCTGATAGCAGCAGACGTCCTGGCTTGCCTAGTGAGTCCCTTCTGTAGAGCATTCTGCCTCAAATTACCCAGCCCTTGTGTGGGGTCTTTGGAGGTTTAGCCACTTTACTGCCCATGCGTGCACAGACCTTTAATTCTCCAGATGAAGAGGCTGATCCAGCCCAGTTATTTGGATGGTATTTCCTGTTCTGGCCTGGGTGGAACCTTGTGAGGAGAGGCCAGCCAGCTGAGCACTCCTGGGAAGGCAAGACTCACAGTCGGACAGCATTAATGCCCAGTGAACAAGAGCACAGCAAGGCAGAGATTGCTAGCAGCTGTCAGTGACCGGGGCGAGGGCGGCTGACCAACAGGGCAAAGGCCCCAGGACCCAGGCAGATGGGGCGTGGCAAGAGCAAGTCCAGTACACAGTCCAAGGTCAAGCTGGAGGTCAATGTACCAGGCAAGTCCATAGAGATGGGTAGCGTAGTCCAAAGCAAGCCGAGGACCAGAGAACTGAGGAAGGCAGACTAGTCGGGGAGAGAAGAGGTGCAGGTGGGGCACTGGAGCAGAGTTCCCGGTCTAACAGACCAGGAAGGGCTTCACCAACCACAGAAGACCTTTGTTGCCAAGGCAGCTTCTGAGGGGAAGAGCTGGTTCCTGTATAGCTCTTCCCCAGGGCTCCCCAGGTGGAACTCACAAGAGCCCTGGCAGCTGCAGTGGACCGAGGTCACAATCCTGCCACCACCAGAGCTGCTCCACTGGCCCTTGACCAGCAGAGGGAGCCCTGAAGCTGCCTCGGGTCTTGACAGCAGCTCAGAGCGCACCCTGTAGTAGTTGCTAGGCTGGGACGGTTCCTCGTGAAAGGAGCTGTTGCTCCAGCAGCAATGAAAGAGTTAATCCACTCAGTGGAGGTCTCTCTGAAGTTTCACCTTCCTGCGGGTATTGACTTTAAAGACCCAAGAGTATTTTGGCAGCCGTAAGCTCCTGAAGGACCTGGAAGACGTCAGGAGAGTAATTGCTGGAGGCTGAAGTTGATGGCTTCCTGAGAGTCCTTTGGGGAGCAAATGCTTCCCTGGGCTTTGTGTCCTCTTTGGGGTAATGCTGAGCCTTAAGATCTAGACCCACGGCAGATTCTTCAGAAAACTGGACTCTGCACCAGCCTTGAGGTGAGTTAGGGAAAGCCAGTAGTTCACTGGTTGAACAGGCCCTTCACATGCAAAAGGTGCAGATCCAGTGGTCGCCGTCTTCATGATCTCAGGTAGAAAGAGTAGGGAAGAGAGGCCCTGGAGAGTTGCCGCAGTCAGGCGTGGCAGTGCTGGGCTAATTGGAGCACCGCTCTGAGGGAGGAGGAGGAGGAGACTCCCTCGGAGATCTTCTGGGGGGTCCTTTCCTGGACATGTGCTGTGGGAATTTGCCTTTAACTCAGGCGTGCATGCTTGAAGCCACCTGGAACTCACCTTGGAGTAGAAGGACTATCCTCTTGGGCATGCCCACAAAACCTACTACCAACCCTGATTTTGAATGTCCTCTCTTTTCAGCTGCTTTCACGAGTGGTATTCAAAGAAGTGCGAGGCTGGTGTGGCTGCTATACAAGAAAAAGAGGGTAGGTTTGGTAGAACTCAAAGGCTCTTCTGGAAGCCACTTGTAACCTGCATCTTGAAAACTTTCAGCCCCAAATACCCTAGAGTTTCAGTCTGAGGTGTCTGACTGTCCACAGATCCTAGTCAAATCTCCCTGCCATACCTTTCTGAATTTTGCTGGATGTGTTTGATAACCTTGTTGCAGTCTTTCTCTACCCTCAACATCTGTTCAATTACAACGCACCTCATCCTTGACCAGTATGGTCACTGAGTGTGCATAAAGAAAAACAAGATGGTAGCATCTCTCTCCAGAATGATACTACAAATATCTACCACAGTGGAATGAGGTGACACACCCTTGGATCTATTCCATATGTTAAGTATGTCCCTAGAACTTGGTCAGGAAATCCAAGATGCACCATGCCAGATTGGGTTTCCATAAGACTTGGTTAACGATCAGTCACATGCACCAAGTATTCAGTCACACTGGACTGAAACTATTGCCAGATTTTTTCTGGTTGTTTTGTCCCATCTGCAACAATGCTTCCAGCACAATCCTGTGTATGTTTACTGGGAAGGTAATCCTACTGTGTTTAATAGGACTTACTCTTGAGTAATTATAGCTTGGGCTACTACTTTAAACATATTGGGTAAGTTCCAACCCAGCGTTCTCGCTAGTGCTACTGGCACTTGGCTACCATTGACCAATGTTTCTGCAGTGTAACTAATGCAATGTGGAAAAGTGGCTATTTGCCACTGACATTCTACAGAAAATCACCCTTCTCACTGTGGTAGTTACACTGAGATGTGGTAGTTACCTTGAGATGTACTGCAGATGTACTGTATGCCTCCCCCCCGCACCCTTTGCACAAGAGAGAAAACAAGTCAGGAACTCTTCCATTGATTGTACTTCCCTGCTTCGTATAAACTGGGGGAAATACGACAAAAAGCTTCAGGACAAGTCAAGTTGTTAAACTTTGGTTTGAAGTTGGCTCAACATCCTGGCTTATTCCAAAGCAGTCAAATGCAGTTTCTCAGTTCAGAGGAAAAGTTAACAAGTTCCTCGTTCATTTGTACCCCTTTCCCCATGCATGGGCAAGAGGTGGGCTTATATCTTGGCTTATTAAGCCAAGACATGATTGTCTAGATTCTCACACAGTATCTCCAGCCCCCACGTGAAAAGGCATCTTTCCTTCTCCTGTCATGCCTAATGGAACGACCTAGAAGTCAGCACACCAAGAGCCAAATGGCACTCAGGCCTTGATATAGGAGGCCCTGATCCCCATTCCTCTCCCCCGCTGCAAAGCCTGTGGTGTCTTCTAAACCAGCACTAACAGCATCCTTCTCCGTGTGCCTTCATAGCTCTTGTGCAACATTAACTAACCCAATAGTGTTGGATACGAAATAGTTTGCTGTGTGAGTATGAGCACTGCTTCTGTCCTCGCATTTAGTAGAAAGAAAAAGTGTGCACATTTCCATGTGTGATTTCCTCCCCTGCTCCTGATTTGCCTTTTCCCCACATGGCATCTGTGAAGAAAGCATCCATCAGGAGAAGCTGTGCGGAAGAACCAAAACATAGCACTGTAACATGCACTTTTGATGAAAGATGGTTGCTTTCAGAGAAAGGAGAGAGAGAGGGGACATAAAAGCCCCGAGAATCCCAGACCATTGGCTATGCTGACTGGGGATGATGGGAGTTGATCTGGAAATCTGGAAAGCACCAGATTGGAGAAGGCTGAAAGCATATAAGCCAGCTTCATATCTAATATGAAGCAACTTCCTGACAAAAGAAGACCAAAGGCACTGAAAGGATAGCTATAGCTGCTGAGGTGGGCATGTTTTCAGTTGCATTCTTGCGCTGAATGTGTGTTTTTCAAGCCAGATGTTGAAATCCGCAAAGATCTAGCTGACTTGCTAACTTGCTAAGACTCAACACTTTCTGTAGTGTTTTCCTCAAAAAGTCATGGTTTTATCTTAGCCCTCCTAGATGCCTGCCCCATTCCTATAGTAACACACTTTAATAAATACCTTATGATTTCCTAATCAAAATAAATTTCCAGATGAAGAAATTTCATGACAATCATATTTTGGGAAACAATCAATGCTGCAGTGGAATCAATTGTTATCATCTTCACAATCTTTCTTTGCATGTTAGTCCTGCTACATAAGTGATCGTGCTTTGTGGGATAACAAATCACCCACAGAAAGTTTTGATTTGTGTGTGTGTGTGTTCCTGAGAAACATGAATGGATGTAATTTAAACCAGTGGTTTGCAAAAACTGCCGAGCATGGGCATCACTTAAGAGAGATATCAGAACTGGCATGATCTCCCTCTGGGGTTAGAAGTTTGAGAGCAGCTAAGAACTGACCAGACTTTCCCAATGGATGAGATCTGGTTCATTTCTCCTTGGGAAGCACTGCATCAGCCCTACATATGATAGAATGTTCAATATCCCCGGCCAGAGATCTCAAGCAACCTGTTTAAGTCGTGCAAGTGGAAACTGCCACAAAATGTTGCCCATTAGCAGGACTGCTTGTGTTCGTGGTTCAAGCCAGCCATCCTACCCCACCCCACCCCACCCCACCCCACGCTCAGTTGTCTCGTCCATCTGACACTCAAGATTCTATAGTTGCCCCACACAGCTAGTTCTCACTTGGCTGGGGGGGTTGGTATGGGGCAAAGGAAACGTAGAAACAGAGTGAGTCAAAAGGGGTCTCCCGGGCCATCGAGTCTGACCCCCGGCTCCAGCCGGCTCCGCTCATGACATGCTTACCAAGGTGCTCCTCAGTTCCTTCTCCCCTTACGTACTTTATGCTTCTACACACCACAGGCTTATCCTGAGCGTGCTGATTCCGCCTTCTTCATTTTCAGTGGCCTTGATTCGGCTTGTGTTTGTTGGCCCTGACCGGCTAGGTTTACTCTTAGAGGGAGTGAATGCACTACTGGTTCCATTTTTTCCTGTTAGCTCCAGTTTTTACCTTAGCCTGGGAACAAGCCATGTTTCTGTTCAGTTGGGATGGCACCACCCAACAGTCCCAATTCCAGCTTAAAGCATTCCAGAATCATGGAGCCACCACCATGGCTCTGTCTTGTGGCCACCTTCCTAGCCACAGCAATCAGGATCAGCGTTCCAGTGACCTTGGGAAGCAGGCAAGTTCGTTATGGGAGGTGGAGAGATATATTGGGAAGCTGTGAGTTAACATCTAGCTAGACCAGCCATCCCCAAATTAGTGCCTCCAGAATTCTGGGACATCAGTGGTCATCCACCCCAGCCAGACATAGCCACTGGTCAGGAATGCTGGGTGATGTAGTTGAAGACAACTGGAGAGCAGAAGGCTGAGCTAAGCCTTGAAAACCACTGTTTTAACTTGCGGAGTTGTGTGGAACAGTGAAAGGTGCTCTTTCCCCCCACTCCCCCATCCATCCCAATAACCCCAGTTCCACTATATGATGGTTCTATTTGCAGGTCAGATACCACTTTTTGAGTAGGCCTGCTCTGGGGCCCTCAGTTATGGTAAGTCTGCATATCCGTCACGAGCCCCTGGTGTCACTTGAGTGCTCTGCTTCCTGGTGTCTTTGGTACTAATGGTCAAAGCTGTAATTATTCTGGTCTCCTGCAACCTCTGTTGGAATAAGTGGTAGACTGTGCTTGAACCTCTGTGGTGGAGGTTTATGTTCTCGGGAGCTTTAGGAGGTTCAAGGGAACACTTTGCAATGGCTGAATTTCCGGGGTGCTTGCCCTCCTCTCTTGCTGTGAGTTGGTATTTCACTGGTCAGCTGAAAGGAAGCTCTGCGTCCGATATTTGGCTGATTTCCTTGCCACCTGTTTGAATGTTAATCCTGGAATTTGTGGGAGAACCTAGGGCAACGTGGGTCAGGATCCCCAGGGCACAGTGCCAGAGAAGCAGGTTCATATCTCCAGCTGCCTTTCACATCTAAGCAGAGATCTGAGTCTACGTCTTCTCATTCCAGGCACACCTTTCTCCCCAGGTCATCGTGCTGGCATCATTTCCATCTTCTATTATAAACAAAGCATCACAGTGTGCAGCTCTTATCTACAGGGTTCCCATCAGCCAGACATGTAGCATTTCCAAAATACTCCTTTCCATTCCATTCCATTCCATTCCATTCCATTCCATTCCATTCCATTCCATTCCCCTTTTCTGATTTTTCCCCTTTCCAACCATCAGCCAGCATTCTGTTGCTGCAGATGTGCTCAGTTCTCATTCATCTGATGCAGCACAAGTCCTTACCCCACTTAGGGCTTTTCCTCAGAGTTGGTTGGTTGGTATTTCTGTGAAGTGTAGGGTTTCCCCATACTTCCAACTCTTTCCTCCTGAGCATGGATACGGCCATTTTGACTACATAGAAATCTTAATTTGGAGAAAGAGTTTGTTGTATTAATATGGACATTCCTATTGCATTTATAACGCCACTCATTATAATTTAGCTATTTGTTTATATTTTTAAAAATGCACACAGCAGCTGGCATTCGACTTGTATAATGCAAAACAAAATAACAACTTACTGACAAATTTGACAAATCCATAGCATTTCCTTAAAACTGCTTGTGAAATAGGCCAAAGATAAATAAATTTTATTTATTTATTTACATATATTTATAGGCCGCCTGTAATTGCCAAGGCCTTTCTAGGTGGCTTACAATGCAAAACATACTAACAGAGTAAAAACACATTAAAAACCAATGAAAACATAGTGAATCAAACACCTGTAAAAACAGTTAAAAAGGGCCACAGCATACAGGCTAAACATTAAAAAATTTCCTAAAAGGATATGTCTGCCTGGCGCCAAAAGGAAAATAGAGATGGCGCCAGGCGAATTTCCCTAGGGAGGGAGTTCCAGAGATGGGGAGCAGCAGCAGAAAAGGCCCTTCACCTGGTTGCCACCCCTCTCGTCTCCCTGAGGGGTGGCTCTCACAGAAGGGCCTCCTGAGTTGATCAAAGGGGGCGGTAGGTATATATGGGTGTAGACAGTCCTTCAGAGAGCCGCGGTTTATTCAAATTCTCATCCAAACTCACCAAGCAAGTAGCAGCAACCATCCCAGCTGGGAAGTATTTGAATAATCTTAGTTCCATGTAAATCCCATCTTAAACCCTGAGGCCAATATGTTTACACATGGCCCTTGCAAAGACATCTGCATATGGTTGTAAGCTGTGGGCCTTGCTAATGCCTCTCCTTGGCTCTTCCAGCTTTAAAGAATTTTAATATGATCAGCATGACCAGAGGAGCCCATCCAGGGAACAGAGAAGAGTGTTGCAGAGAGGACTGGCTGCTTGCCCCCCTCACCTCGGCCAGTTCACAGTGGGAGGAATTAATGATGTCGAAAAGCAAGCTGAACTCTCTTCCAAACCACCAGCCAAGGCAATCGCCAACTATTTGTCTGTCTGTTTGTTTGTTTTTAAATGTCCATCGGAGGGGAGCAGGGTAAAATGATGCAGCAAAGTCAACAGCAAAGGAAATGGCTTATCAGAGATCCATATCAAGTCCTGAGGCCTCTGCTCCATATCAGTAGCCAGTTGCATCCCTTTTGTTACTGCCCTTTTTATTATTAAAACTGGTGCAAAACCAGTGGGTGTTTCTTTTCTGTCTGCCAGGCAAAAGAGAACCGAACATGTGTGCTTTCATGGTCATCTCATCACTGCATCCATGAGAGTGGGAGTACACATTGTGGACAGTTCCATGTTTTTGTGTCTGGGGGAACACTTTGACACTGGGGAGATGTGATTTTGCATGGGTAGTTAAGGCCTATTAGCATTCCCGAAAACCTCCCAATGGAGAGGAAAACTGAGACGGATCAAAACAGGTGCCTAAATATTTGGACTGTTCTTGAGGGTGTGGTAAAGGGGA